CTCCCGATCCTTCGGCAAGTACTAAAGCTCCTCGTGATCATCGTTCTGCAGATCATCCAGCGGCTCGCCAGCCACAGGCGACGGCGTCTTGTGCACGCACTCCTCAATCAGGGCAGGTACCTCTGGTGTCTCGGGCGGCGTGAGATCGTTAGACTGAGCGAGCAATGCGTGGGCTGAGTGTTCTTCAAGCAGCGGATCATCATCCCCAGGCAACGGTGTGCATGCCTCACCTGTGGGCTGGTGCTGCTGCTGCTGCCCCGCTGATGCCACCCCGGTGCCTCGGTCCACATCAGGAGCGGAGCCGTCCGCCAGTACCATGTGACGTGGTGCCACTGGTCTGTGCATCGATGTTACATGTGGCGATGGCCCCTGTGGGCCCGACGCCGTTGGCGACTGCTCTGGCATGTCGCAGAACCCCGAGGCGGAGGCAAACAAGGCAGCGGTGTGGGGTGAGCTGTACTCCAATGTCACACGGCTTATGCCTGGCAGTGACGGCATTGTCTGGCTCTCGCCCGCCGCCTGCCGCGAACCGTACGCAAGCAACTGGTCAGAAGTACTACTCTCGTACATCTGCGCTTCAGTGCCCTCCCGCGAGGTGCGTGGCAAACTGCTCCTTGGCTCCGTAGAACCCGACGCCCGGCGGTGCTTCAGTGGTGATGGCATTGCGGCTGCCGACGCTGCAGCAGCAGCAGCAATTGCCTTNTAGAACCCGACGCCCGGCGGTGCTTCAGTGGTGATGGCATTGCGGCTGCCGACGCTGCAGCAGCAGCAGCAATTGCCTTTCGCATGGCCTCCGATTCTAGCGGAGCGATTATACGCAGGGAGAGATTCATCGCGGGCCGCCCTCCATCCTCCGGCATTGTCTCTTCGCGGCCCGCGCCGCCCTGCGCGCCGATGAACGGCGGCGTTTCGAGTTGCATTCTCGACACCACATGTGCCCGCTGCTCCCTGTCCGCCCAGTAGTCCGGCAGAATGTCCGGCAGACCACGCGGCTGGCTCTGCGCAAAGGTGGCGGGCGTCTTTGCCTCCGCAGCAACACTTGGCGCGACGACGGGCTCCGCCCCCCAGCACGACGACTGCGGCACGCGCTCGCCCCCGAGCAGCGCCTGCAGCGGCAGCACCGGCATCACCTCACGCAGGTGCTCTGCCCACAGGCGGCGGTCGCCCTCACGGCAGTACAGCCAGTTATTCGCCAGCCCCCGCCGGCCCAGGTCTCCAACGTGCCTCTTGTTGCTGCTGCTGCTACTTGTATTGGTTGTATTACTCTCTGCAGAGAAAATACGCGCACTCGAGCCGCCATTGGCGGCTTCGGGGTTAGCGTTGTTGGGCACTTTATTGGTGTTGTCGCCGCTGCCGTACACCAACCCGTCAGCAAAGACAAAGGCACCTGAGATATTGCGGCCGTTCTCCCAGACACCGCGGTACTGTCCACCACCGCGCTCGGCAGGGAAGAAGAGGGTGCCGTGGCCGTGTATGCGGCCGTCGTTGAACGCGCCCACGTACGTGTCACCGTTGGAGAAGGTGTAGACACCTTGCCCGTGGAAACGCTTGCCGTCGGGTGTCTTTTCCCCACGGTATTCGCAGCCCGTGTAGAACATCGCCGTTTGGTTCTGTGGGGGGGGTGCTGGTTTTCTACTCCAGTGATTCAACGTGCGCGTGCACGCTCTACGTTATCCCTTCTTTCTTTTTTCTGTTGTTATTACTGGCGCTGCCCTGGTGTTTGGAGATCAGTGCAGCACCGGCCGAGTAAGAGGGGGGCGGAAAGAAGAAGCGGAGGGTCACAAAGTGGCGTTGGCTGCGAGAGGATCTGCCCGGCCGAAACAAAGCAGTAGCATCAGGAAGAACAGCAGCAGCACAGTCAGTGCACAGAACTGTCTAGCGGAAAAAAAGGGGGATAAATATTGACGAGGGAGAGATTGCAGCAACTGCACCATCCTACATCCACGGTGCGTGTCCCCTCGGCAGCTTAGCACCGTATGTACTCTCGATGCTATAAGTCATGTACAGAAACCCATCGTCGTCCTTCCGCTGTGCGTAGATGTCACCGATGCAAGCGCAGCTCGGCGGTAACTCATTATCAACGAACAGGAATACAGCCTGCTCCGCCTCCAGCAACAGGCGGCTGCGCAGCAGTAACAACAGCTGTTGAATAGACGCCTCAGTGGGGACGAGGAACTTCGCACGGTCCAACTCGCGCTGCAGGCGGTGGCGGCCGGTAAGTAGTCCGGCGTCACTCGGCGCAATGCCCATGTCCGGTTCGCACACGACGGGAACACACTGTGGGTAGCGGTGCCGCATAGACGCGGTCTCCCGCCGCCGGTCAGCAAAGCTGTGCGTCAGCTGGTAGCGGTAGCGCGGGTTTACGCGCGCGCGTGAAGAGTGGTGAGGATCAATCATAAATATATGTTGCACAGTGAAAAAAAAAGGGAGATGGATAGAAAGCAACTTGCTACTCTAGTGCAACAGGTGTATGGCCCAAACCGGCGTGTATATAGGGGACTGTTGTGAGAGTAGCAGTAGTAGTAGTAGTAGGAGGAGGGAGCCGGTACCAAGCTGTGGAGTGCCTAGGCGTATGGTCCCTTTACTCTTGTTCGTTTCACGCTATAATACGTCATGTGTGTATGCGAGAAGGGAAAGAAAAAGATGAGAAGGCGAGCGAGTGGGAAACAGTGAATTGCACATACAGATATATAGATACACATATGGGAAGAGGAATAGATGATATATATATATATATATATA